TGTGTAAATCATTCGTTAGATGTCCAAAGTTGTGCTGCTAATTGGCAATGATATTATTTTTACCTAGATGTCGATGGAAAAAAGAAATTCAATGAGATGTATGCAAAGGGTGCTGATCATATCATACTACATTCTGAATTACCATTTGATAAACATTTAAGCTTCTCATGTTCATAAAGGTGCATGGATTTCCATCTTAGGGCCATGACTTGTTGACCCATTCCTTAAAAAACCAACCAGTGAGCTGCAGTTTCAAACGCTGCTTCACCTGTCTTGGTTTCAGTGGCCAGTTAGTATGATCATCCCTTAAGAGATGTAACCCATTTCCTAATGTGAGACCCTATAAATGGTCATTAACTTCAAGTCTAAATATTATTGATGAACATCGGCTAGCAGTGAAGTCTAGAACACTTATTTCCTCCTACTTGGGACTCGTGAGTTGGGTGTACCTGCTTCCTAGTGAGTGATCTTGTTCCACCTAAGACTCGAACTCGGAACTAATTGCTTCCAACTGCAAAGCGTTATCCCCTAAGCCAGTGGCTCACAACAACCATTCCTTGTGCAAGGGGTTCGGCATAGTTTGTAAGTTTCTGTTGTTGACCCAATCAAACTGACCAGCCACCACAACTGACTTCTATTATAACTTCTGTCACAATGGATTCTATCACTTTGTTTCTTGACTCTCTTAATTATAGTGTTCAAGCTAAAGTATTCACGGCTAAGACAAACCAAAATCGCTTGAGTATAAATGGCATATAAATTTAATTGAACTAGTGCTCGTTGGTGACTAGCTTCGAGAAGTATTCCCGAAGTTCCAATGACAAGTCGTGACCGGTGGAGTCAAGCCTGATGGCCGTGAGGACAAATACTCAACGATGACATTGGGTGGCGGTTTGCGCTATATCGTGAGCTAACAGAAGTTGGAAATATGGAGCATTGGATTGTGATCCAGTGGCTCAATGGTAACGCGCTGGTCGCGGAACCTGAAGGTCGCGGGTCCGATCCCTGCTGGTGGGGTCGTGGGTGCGCACTGCTGAGGAGTCCCATACTAGGACGAAACAGCTGTCCAGTGCTCCCAGGTTTCCTTTGTTCCTCCAACTGATGTCAGTCTTCGATGAATAACAACTTGAAATATTTCCAAATCTCCACAACCCCCTCAAAATTTAATTGAACTAGTATTAAAATACTTTATTGGTGCATTTTCCTGCGAACAATAATATATATTAAGACTAACCATAAGTTCTAAGCTCTTGAAAAGTTCAACCAAAAACCACTATGTGGCACTCAGGATCTGATTAACAAAGAGTTCTTATTTGACGTTCTAAAGTAGAATTTCCAGTGTTAGGTCTACCTGATTTTTATTTGTAATGTATTGATGCTAAGAATCAGACCAATAGTATCGACATATTTTTAGTCGCATTTAATCTATCAAGAAACATGTAAGTTCTCCCGGTGGTGTCAAATGAAATCTGAATTGCCTGTGGTTTATCTCGTTCTGCTGGAGATGAACTGTTGTGATGTATCTTTTATGAAAGGTATCAGTATATATAGTTGAAAAACTAACTAGATATTGAGCTCTAAGATTTTGATTATATCCGTAGGAGAACCGTTAACTATATTCGATTGAAAGTGTTTATTTTAAACACGGAATGACCAATTATTTGTTGTGTTCATACCGGGTAGAGTAAATGTATGAATGTTCATTTACCGGAATGGTAGTGATCTCTGTCAGTCGAGTGAGACAGTCCTGACAAGCACAGTGTAAATCAGATTTCAGAGCACAAGTTCCATGGCTCATTTCTCTGCATAATAATGTACACAGAGGAAAATAACTTAGCTCATAGGGTATTTTTTGACACGTAAACTTAAGGCAAAAAAGCCAAAAATCAGTACCTCAATGCTTTGCAAACACTCCAGTCTACTTACAAATGTCAAAAGTAGTCAAAGTGCAAAGAGAAAAACTTCATCATGTAAATTAAGAAGTTTTCAAAACATTAACATTAACACTTTAAAGCCACTTGCTGCGATGACTATTTGGTATAAGAATGTCTCGAATGAACTCATGAACATCGAGGCTAGATTCTGCTGTTTAAATAGTGCATACATCTTTTCATTCGGATGAGACACAATGTTCAACTGTTTTTTGAATGTCAGAATTACTGAACATTAAAACATTGATAATTAATAACAAAAGCTGATCTTTATTCTGCACTAAAATCAAGCTTCAACCCACTGTCTTGTTAGCACACCATGCCTTTTTTTACAATTAATGAAGAGTAAAGCTTTGTTCAGCAAAAAAATTATTCGTATATCTGGTAGTCTCATCATTGCTTAAATTTCTTGAATATTCACATTCACATGCACTCAGTTTCCAACCGTTTAACTTGTACAGTTTGCAAACATTCAGACTAGACTTCTTATGTTACTGAGATCAGTGATCATGTAGTTTTATAAATATCTAACATTTGGATTGAAAGCTGTACAACACATACTACTGATTTTTTATTTATTTACAGTTCTTTCAGTTCGCTTTCTAGAATTGTGGGTTTTTTAGTGACGTAACCGTCCGGGTTAAATCAATTCGGCTATTTACTAGGTCAAATTCGAGAACAAAAGGAAGGAGTTGTCAAGATAAAAATATCCACTTATAATAATGGTTGATAGTAGCTAGAAGAAGAATCAGGGATGCACATTTCATCCTACTTGGGAATCGTCAGCCGGACGCACCTGCCTCCCATTGAGTAGTGTTTTGCCCACCAGGACGGGAACTCTGGACTGATCGTTCCAAACGCCAGAGTGTTATCTACCAGACCACCGAGCCACGATAGCCATTTCTTGTGCGACCGGTGTAGTTTTAGCATTATTGATGCAAGTCGTGTCATATCACATAGTACTGTGTGAGCCCCACACATGCAATACGAACAGTAATAACTGTGTTTTATAAAAGAATTTTGCAGGGACATTTCAGTTAATTTTGCCGTTTCCATCTCAGTATTACTCTTGATAGCTTCTGACTGAAATTTTCTCCGCAGTTCTTGATGTTTACTACACTACTTTGAATCAAATAAGTAGGCAAAAACGAAGAAAGAAAGTTATTTGGTAGCCAAAACAAAATACAGAAATGCCTTCTACTTTTGTTCAAAATCTGAACAGATTTCAGACACTGCTCTGTCGTTAAGAGAGGAATATCAAGCTTTATTAAGATCCACTTTTAATTGCTTTATGGACTCTGAATATCACGGTGTAAGTCTCTACTTAAGGGGATATTTTTCGACCGCTATGGAGTTCAGCTTAGCAGTGATTAGTTTCCGTATATCTGGTATTTATTCTGTTGCAGATATTTTGATTCTACTCTATGCTTCCTATGATGAAACTAGGTAAATGCCTTTAATTTCACTTTATCGCGTCAAAGAAGAAGAGGAAGTATTATCGTATGTTTTGAGTTAGAAATTATGAGGTTTTTGATATACGGTTAACTTCTGCATCTACTACTGCATCTAGAACACTGGACTTTTTCATCAGTGCCATTTTCAATGTCGTTTCTTCCACCAATATGCTACCGAAAGCGAAAAGTTTTAAAAAATTGTTTTTTCTGTTCGGTACACTACAGTTTTTACTGTTCCAGTGTATGATAGGGATGCTAAGATACTTTGCGGGCCTAGGCAAGCGCGATAATGCATTTTTACGTATTACTTTTTGACTGATTATTACGATTGCTAGTTTCCCTTACACGCATTGATGCACAACAATTACACAGTGGTAAATGGTAATCCTCTTCTAAGGTAGATGCAAAGTAAGCAGTTGAGGTAGCAAAATTATTTTGTTAATGGTCGTAATAATATTGGTACTCCTTAAAGATGAGCGACATTGTTCAACAGATGAAACTGGATTGAGGATAATTCTACAAACACTGAGCTAGGAATAGGAAAAAATATATATTGATTAACTTTCTGGTTCATAGGACACTTCTGTCAGCTTCTCAGTTGAATAATCGGATACTCTTCCTTACTTTAGGCCTAGTTACCGTCATAGGCCTGCACAAAGTTAACATATGTTTGTACCAGTAACTTGCATCTTTGCTTGAAATGGAATAAGACACTTGGAAGAAGGATTTATTTCCAGTATTTAGTAATGGCCTAATTTTCATCATAGTATGTCAACCACTGTATCAAGTATATTTTTAAACGGAAATATATTATGCAGCAAGGTAAGACAGCCTTAGATTTGAGGATAGAACGAAAAAGTAGTAAGTGGTATTTACAAAAATACTTATATTCTCTCTTCTTCAGAACAGGGGCTATGTATACCACCCTACAATGCAAAAGGTCTACACTAGGCATTTTAAAAAGATGTGTTTCGGTACTGTCTACGAAGGAAAGTCGGTCCTACTTATTTAAAGTGATAAACTGAAAATGAACGTATTGCCTATTTGGATAATCTTTAAACTGTCGTGATCCCAAGCTGATATTACCTATTCTGTCAACTGATAGAAACCATCATCACCCACATTAGATGCTAGGAACCTTTAGGGCAATCTTACTAGCTGCAATATAAAAGCTATGAGTGCAATGAATTATGAGTATTGTGAACTTCAAAATTTCGAATCGATCTACTGCATATTCAGCAATCGAAATAAATTTCATACAGTGTAAGTATGTTACTTGTATTGATTAAGTAGCCAGTCGAGTTTCTGAAAAATTAGGACGGATTCGCACAGTACATTTGTCATAAAGATTTAGTTGCAGTTTTAAAAGGACTGGAGGTTATTTTAATAATTAACAGTCAACAGCAAAAGCTTTCTAGGAAAGAAGCAGGATTATAAAAACTGTTTAGGATAACTCAATGACTTACTATTAGTGAAAACTGTTAAAAACCTAACACATTTTCTCATGAAACTATCATAAAAATTACACAGTGTTTTAATGTTCATTTGCTTCAATGAGAGGACTTACATCTTTAAAGTTAATTTCTCATCTTATTTCCTTTCATTTCCTCCATAGGACCGAATTCTGTTCAGCGTCGTCGTGGTCGTCAAACATACAGTCGGTACCAAACCTTAGAATTGGAAAAAGAGTTTCAGTACAGCCATTATCTAACACGAAGACGAAGAATAGAAATAGCTCATAATCTTTGTTTAACTGAACGTCAGATCAAAATTTGGTTTCAGAATAGACGAATGAAATTGAAAAAGGAACGTCAACAAATCAAAGAACTGAATGATGAGTCAACCCGTCAGACAACCGCAGATCCTGTACACCATAATCGACGCCAAATGGACTCATCCCACCAATATTTTGGAATGATGAATATGAATAATAGTAGCGGTTATTATTCAACAAATTCGAATTCAGGGATTTTAGACTTGAAAGATGACTGTCAACTTGACTGTAAGCCAGTATCTATACACAAAAAGTCGGGTTTAATCCCAAAATTACTGAACAGTAATATGCAATCAGAGTCTATGATATCAGGTGGATTCCCATCATCATTAAACAGAGGACTTCAATCAAGTATGAGTTATCCCGGTGGTCAGGATACACTTGGGCATGGTAATTCAGAGGACTGTGAACAAATGGATAGTGATGATGACGATGAAGATGATGATTTCTGTGAATCTGATGAGATTCAAGTACCTAAAGTTTCAAAACTAGCTCATGAATTCATAAATCCTCATCTTATTAGGACAAATTTACTTCGCGACAAATAATTTCACTTGGAATTCGAGTGTCTTGAAGGTAGATCTCACATTATCAACATTACAAACTGCAGCAGTGAATTAGCAAACATGACATTATTTTGTGGTTTAACTGTAATAATCTAAATTCTAGGTTGCCTAGTGTTTCTCCCTATCCTCCTTCAATGTATGTTCTAATCTACAAAACAATTTTTCCCAGGAATTAATTTTACCTAAGTCAACTATTAAGCTCCTTTTACATATTCATATATACACAATTCAAGTGCTTATAAGTCTTATAAACCAAGTACAGTATTTTGAACATTTAGTTCTTTGTAACAAGACCTTTACCTATCCTCCCATCTACAAAACACTACTTTTTAAATTCAGTAGTATTCATGAATGAGTTTTTTGTTTTGTTGATACATAAACAAATAAACTGCTTTGTGAAAAGAACATGAAGGCTTAATTTTACAGAAATCAAGAATTCAGGAAGTGTTTCATATCTCTGAGTAACTTCCGTGAAACTATCTGTTTGAAGCTTCACCATTTATCCTGATACATTAGTTTAGCCTACGCAATAGACACTTACATACGTGTCTAACTAGATTGGTTTCAACAACCATTCAGCAACACTGTAGGCATTAGTTTGCCTAGCAGTGCATAATGCATACTATTTTAGAGTCAGTATCACTACCTCAACGGCTAAGCATAGTTAGTTGGAGAGGTATTTTAAACAGGGAGCTAAATAACTATATTTAATGGGGTAAATCATAAGCAACAACTTTGACTTGATAGAATCCGTAACAGCGAGTTGCTACTAGACAAAATAAAAGTGGAACATAAAACTTATTCACTGAATGAAAAACCTGACAAGTAGATTTTAGTCAATTATTAGTACTATATCATTTCACAGTCTCAAAAATATATGCATTGAAACAGATCTGTGCGGAAGATGTTCGATCCAGTATTTAGTGCGTTACTATGATGATGACGACATCAAACCAGAATTTTGGTTAACATTTAGATTATGATTATATTTATTGTGTCATGTTCGATATGAGATGCTTAAAAACTGAATGAAATATAATGTTGACTATGTTGAATATTTAAAGTAATCTTAGGGTTTTCAGAAAGTTTATTGTTCCTTTCAGAAAAGTATCTTGATCAGACGTGATTGATATCTGTTTGTGATACACCATTTTTTTTCACAGCAATTTCATAGCAGTTTCAAAAAAATTCAGGAGCAAGTAGAATATTGATGCTGTGCTCTCTGAGCTGGAAGTGTTGATGCCAAAGATGTTGTCTAGAATAACAATGAAAGCTTCATGATTAAACCATTCAGATAAAAAAAACACCATCAAAATTATCGTCTTGAGCTACAAATATTCTCTATTATCTCAAAAGAGAATATTATTTGAAATTACTCAAAAAAATATATTCAACAGGCGAAGCTAAATCCAAAAGATGCTAGCCTTTTTACAGTTTGTTAATTTATTCTTATGCACAAACCATCTTGTAAATAATTCTAATCAAATTTTATTCAAGATAAGCACAAGATTTGTACTTTATCATTATGGAAGCAGTTTTGTTTGAATGTGATGCACCTACTTGTTTGCTCAGTTTGCTCAGTTTCATTGTGTAAAGTTGTAAATATACGTTGACGTAGTCTCACATTTTTAAGTGTGTAGCATATCAGCTTAAGTTTTAATGAAGTAATTGATTCCATTGAACTGAGACAACTTCAAAATACATCCACGTTACACTTGTCAGAGTACGCATATCTTAAAATGCATCAACAGTTAAAAGGAAGACATCGATTAAGGTATGATAATTATCTGAAGTTATCGTCATCACGAAACTGAAACCATTTAACTTTCATAACTCCACGATTATATATCTCTTAAATCATACACTGTTTGAAGCAACAGATATTCATTAGGTGTTTAAAACGGAGCATCCCCTAGTTTTGAGCGTTCTTCTTCCTTTGATGAAACACTATGAGTAACCTCTGTACTGTCTGGCAATCTTCTGTTCTGTTCACTGTGACTGACTGACTAACTGACTGACACAATTAACGTAGGACCTCGCACACAAGTACTTTGGCTCAAATTGACACACTTCACAGAAGTACACAAAGAACAAGTGAATAAAAAGGAGTGATATCAAAGTAGATAAAGTAGTGTAGGAAAATGAACAATTTGAAGATGAAGATTGGTATGAATATCCGAGCTTTAGAAGATGTCAAAGAGTGAACACATCTACGCCTCTGTGATCGATTTTCAGCCATATCACCAAGAGCCCTTCCCTAGCGTGGTAAGCCAAGGTAGGTGGTGGCTTAACATGCCTGCATATGTCCAGGCCATCTCACTCGATTAACGTTTACAACCTCGTCTATCGACTAGCCTGTCTTGTCTAGCACCTTTTGCCTGACCTCAACATTTCCCACATAGTGATTCCACCAGATGCGAGCAGTGTCACCGAGATATCTGTGATCAAACTCCTGTAACTGTTTCATGTCTCCAACTTTTAACGGCTATTTCTCACAGCTATATAACGGGAAAGAACGGACTGTAGTGCGGTGTATTTGTCCTTTGAAAGATAGTCGAGTACCTCGCCGACACTTCAGGTGATGCAAGTTGGCAAATGTCAAACGGACCTTCTCTATCCAAGTTGAGATTTCGTCAGCAACCGGGCTGATGCAACTCCCCAAGTAAGTGAACTGGTCAACACATCTCACCATTTCACTCCATATTCTAAAGCTGAGAGTAGTTGCACACCAGTCCTCGAGCATCATCTTGCATCTGACAGTTGCAAAACGCTTACCAATAATACCAATTTCTGCTCAAGGCGTTTTACATTAGGGTAGATAGTGTTCTGGTGTGTGACAAATGGCAGTTGATCCAAGAATCGTTGGTTTAATTCCTGCCGCGGCCCAGATTTTAATTTCACTTTCAATCATCACCTAGTAACAATCTAGATGGTTCATTCCTTAAGCTTTATAAACTAACAACCATTTTATCTACACTTCTACGTGAAATCTCAACATTACTCATTGTAACACAATAATAACTGTACGGGATCGATGTATACAAGTACAGTATAACTTGCACTATTTAATACTGACATAGTTAATCGTGACACACAGAACTACAAAAATGGAGAGTGAAGTAAAAAGTCTAATTATCGGTTGGCAAATAATAACAATAAAAAAGTTACTTTCTAAGCATCTGAGTAGTCATGAGTGACTTCTAGATCATCAGTTGCCCTTTTTTCTAAAAAGATGAGGTATATATGCTTTCTAACACTTAGTTTTGCCAACCTACGTTCTTAAAACCTATTCGGCCTGAAGACAAACAAAACAAAAGCTGTGAGTTTCAAAGATGCTTTATACCTGATAAGATAAAATAGCCAAGTGCATGACAAAAATCAGATACCTATCAGTAAACGTGTTCATTAGCAGGGTTCTGGTGATATGAGTTAGTTCAAAAATAAGCTTTGCAGGTTCTTTTTAGTGCAGTAGTTCCTATTTCAAAGCAAAAGTTAAAGAAAATGGGAGAAAATGAAGAGAATTAACTGAGATGTGGGAATTGATCCACTACCACTGGAGACAGCATGATACAGAAAGCAATTAGCCTTTTGCACAGTTGGTCAGAATAAAATGTTTATGATACCAACAAGAGATGAACAAGACAAAAATCGTCGAAAAAATCAGCAAAGGTTAATAAGATGTGAAACTTGAATCACGTAGAGGAACTGCCAACACTGTAGACATCATAGTTTCTAAAACATTTGTCGCAGGTCTTCCTGATACTTTACCCTCAGAATTGACAATTTCACAGCAAAGACCTCAATAATTTGTTTGATTGATTTATAAGCATCCCTAAGTTGAATCCGGTATATGATTTCATTACCCCCGACAAAACTCATTTTCTCTACGTCTGTAAGTTGACTGTATGAAGCCATTGATAAAACAACGTAGAATTTCAGTGCATGCACAAAACACTAGATGGGTTGAAGATTCAATAAACTTTTCCTAATAGTTAAGCAACTGTGTAACTCCAGATTTATTAATACTTTTAAAACAAATGAGCTAACTTCAGAGTGATAAGAGAGCAAGTCTGCAAGGAGCTTACTATCCACATCATTGATTTAAGAAAAGAAAAGGGAAACAGCTGATTCAAATACACAACTAGTAGTAGCGCTATGAATTCATAGGAGAGTTTTGAAGTCAACAGAAGTAAACTTCCGTTGTGCTGATGCTACTTACATCATTGCCACCAATAAAGGAGAGCGAGCACTGCGACTGAATCTAAGAACTGCCATACATGTGTTAACTATTTAGGTGTATGCCGAATAAATTTCACCCTGAAACAGTTTTAAAACCCTATTCTCATTATATCTGTAAAGCGATTCTAGTCCTGTTACACCATAAAAGAAGATATGTTTCAAACCCTTCAATAAGTGGAGATCCCTATCTCCAAGTATTGACCAGTTTGCACCAAACTCGCATATGAAATGTTAAAATTATTTCGCTTTAAACACACTGAGGTTTATACAGATATAACCTTTACTTGTTTTTATGCTGGGAAAATATTTTTAGAAAAAATCTTCTTTAGTATTCATGGCAGACACAACAGAAAAGTAAAAGATTCTATGGTTTTCATTTGGTTGGTTAGTAGAAAATAAGTTGATTTTAAGATAATTAAAATCATGTTATCGATAACAACTGGAAAGACAATGCATACGTAACAACGTTGAAAAGCTCCTTTAACCTGTTTCTAAACATCATATCAAAGTGTACGCATAACTTTACGAGAGATCAATTGTAGGATCTTCAGTTTTTACGGTGAGTATATCATCTTGGTATTATTATAACATGGTAATATTCATCTCACCATTTTACAACAAGTAATTATGTAATAGGATGTAATCAGCATTTCTCTTTTTTTTTTCAAAACAAAAAATTTTCCAACTATTTCTGGCTGTTACTGAGGCATCAAATTTTATTTCGCTTAGTGGAGAAGTTGAAATGACTTTTCAATTCTTGATCATTTTTAATGTCTACATAAAAACATAAATTTGTTACAATGTGGTTGGTCCACAATATCATTTAACTGGTTTAGCGAATGATCCATCCACACACATAAACACCAAAGAAACATAAAGTATACTGCTAAGTGTACAAACCTCCATTTTATCAGCCATCAAGTAGATACTCGACATAACAACCTCTGTGTACCATACAACCGCAAAATGGTTAGTACAACTCTTGAAGCCTCCTCACAAAGAATTTGTAAAGTACGGTCTCAAAGATACCTTTAAATTTGTTGAAAAGATTGAGGATCTGAAAATAGATAATAAGTTAATGATATCGTGTGATGTTTCATCTCTTTTTACTAACGTTCCTTTAATGGAGACAGTAGAATTTATTTGCAGTGAGCTCATG